TATATTATATTATATATATATATATATATATATATATAATATATATATATATATATATATATATATATATATATATATATATATATAAAAGCATTAGGGAGGAGTTTGTAAGCTCCATCGGGGTTATCATGGAGGTATGGCTAGCCTTTGGCATTGTACATTGTGTAGGTACAATGATATCTTTGTGTTGGATTATATCCTCTTCATTGCTTTAATTTTACTTGCGAGATTTCGTCACCCTGTCTGTTGGATATTGTAGCAATTTTATTTGAACATAGCTTTAATTTCGGTAATCCGACAGACACAGAGATATATTTTTTCATCTAAATGAAGAAATATGCAGAAAGAATACTCCGAGTTATACATACAGTTGAGAATTGGTAAGCTGCGTCGAAGTAGTCGAGAAAGAAAAAGAAACATAGCCAAGATTCAAGAAAGCATCGATTAGAACTGAGTCACCAGCAACTGTTGTCATTGCATTTGTACCCAGTGAATTCGTTTCTATAGAATAAATATTCCGGAGTGATGTCTTCACCGATGTCAGATGCTGGCCCGAGTAATCAAACTGTAAAAAAATCCACTAAACAAAAAAAAAATACGTTTAGTTCCATATCGTTATATTTAAACACCTTTAGAAAAGTACAGGAAATTTAACTAACAATTTTATCATGCGAAAAAAAGAAAAGAAAGCTTGTAATTCAAATGGTAGACACGAGATCTAGGAAAATAGAACATCTAGAAAATCCATCACAGATATAAAAAGCCTTTGGTTAAATTCATTATCCACATCAGCATTATGTCATTGTACTTCATTCCAATCTTCTTTTTCAGAATTTACAAAAGTCTTCACTTTTTTTTAAACATTTAATCCAGTATTACTTACTTGCAACAGATCCGAACAACTTCCTCCTATTAAAATACGATCACCATTCATTTTTGCTACTGTGCATCGCATTAGAAAAGGACGTTCACAAATTAAAGATGACGCTAATGATCTTGAACCAATATGCCAAATAGCAGGCTGCACATCTCCGCCACAAATCTGAAGGCATACCTTCAATTTAGAGGTAACGAAATGAAAATTATGAAGTTTAAATAACTTTTGGCACGTAACTAAAAATCCAAGAAATTTTATACAATAATTTTTTTTCAAAATGATGCAACTTTGTCTATATATGTCGAGCTAGTATTGAGAGAGTATTTCCTAGTCTTCTTGAACTAATTCCACTGGACGCTGCCAGATAGACTATTTATCTTCTTATTTTTAACAGTCACTGCTGTCATTTTTCTTCTTTTAATTGGTCTTACGAAAATATCAGTTATACCAAAAATGAACCATTATCAGACAAGCAGGTCAAGCATAACTCCAAAAGCTATTTAAGCAAGCATTATATTTTAAACATTCTGAATTATGAATAATCCTTATAAATGCACCATAAAATCTTCTTCAACATCCAAAGCGCAAACTCCGCGACCACAACCACTTCTAAGCTTTCCTTCTGAAGCTACATTAAAAACATGGATATACTTAGAACGAACATCCCAAAGGCGAACAGTGCCATCTTCAGATGAGCTCAAAAAAACATGTTCTGATTGTACTGCTAATTCATTTACATATTCACCATGTCCGACGAATGTCGAAATGATCTAAAATCGAAAAAATCTGCAAAAAGTTGCAAAAAACACAAATTACTCTATAAAATTCATTGCTGCCAGCAAACTAGCGAGTCAAAGTGCCCAAAATGTATCTATAAAATGAAAAAAAATTTTGATAGACGACCAGACTCATAACCAGTTGTTTCGCAAATTAGTGAAATGCAAACCACAAAATAATTCCAGCGAGACAACTCAAACATTTATTCCTCGAAGCATAACTAATATTTAGCTAAAAAAGCGGAACAAACCTTATCCGGACGTTCGATTTGCACCAAACGAATTGCATTATCTCCAGCTCCAGCATACAACATAGAGCTGTTGTCGATGCAAGCTATCGCATTTATTTCACATGGTGGAACAACTGGCAAATTTGCGGGAAAACCACTAAATTTGCATAAAGGATCGCACCGATCGGAAGTACCGAAGTGGGTGATATCATCCCAGTTATAAATAGCTAACTGACCCACTGAGTTACCACATACTAATTTTGAATGAACCGTACTCAAAGCGAAAATTGGTTCATCCAATTTTAGTTGATACTTGAATCGTCGCTCATTGCTGGAAGCATTCAGTTCAAGAGCTTGACGAAGTCCGAAAACATATAGATGAGCGTGCGAATCCGTCACCACTAACCAGTTACCTGAAAGGAACCTTATTTAGCAGAGTATCCATTTCCGAACACTTTCCTTTTCCTCACACTTTTTCTTGCCTAATACTATCCAATGAATAATATTGTTTGAGATATTAAACTTACTTAATTCTTAATTGCTTACATCTATGAACAAGGTATTCAAAAAGAAATTAGTAGGTACAAAAAACGAACTGAAACTTATCTAACTATTTCTAACTAACATAAAAAAGGCTTCTGTCTTTAATTTAATGCTGATGTAAAGTAACATCTCCATTATTGTCCCTTCATTTGTCGCTCTAAAACTATTTACTGCGAAATTTCCGTTTAATAAAAGTTGTCGAAAAAAAAAAACCCCCCTATGTTACATTACGATCATCAAAGTATCATCATCCATTAATCTTACCATCCGGAGAAAAACACTGACGATAAATCCTGCTGTAGAATGATTGTCGAGAAAATACTGTATCTGATTCTTCCACAACCATCCTAGAACTTAACCCAAACCCATAAAAGCAGCAACGACAACACATCGAATTGCCAATAAATCGATATAACTTTTGACATACAGAGACCAGTAAAATATGTTAAAATAACGGAACATTTCAAACACATATTTAGATACAATTTCTTGCTGATATAACCGAACGCATTTTTCAGGAAACATTTCGGAAAAAGATAAATAAAATCAACTCTAAAAGAGGTTACCGCCTATATGAAATAATTGTAAAACCCATTCTAAATTTGAGTGTGCTTTCCTATTAGTTTCACGATTCTTGACATTATATTCAAAATCACATCCCAAGTCCGATCCGATTCGAGTGTAACTGAAGCTCAGTAAAACTAAAAAATATAGAAATTTACGATACATCAATGTCAACAATGACTGCCATGCGACATAATAAAAGATTATTTAAAGATTATTTGATGAGTATCAGAATGATGTTCATCAACTTTACAGGAGCAAAAAGCTTGAAACATTTATCAAACATAATAAAACATAGTTAAACAAATAGTTGCAAAAATAAATGAAAGACAACGAGAAATGGGAACAAATAACTTCAGAAATAATGACTACTCCTGCCAAATAATCGTGAAATCCAACGTCCTGATACCACATTTCCTGAACATTTCAAGCAGGTCAAAGTGTGAGAGATTTTATGAAAAAATGTTCGGAGTACTATTACATGCAAGCCAAACCTTTACATTTTGCAGAGTATCTCTGCTCCTTGAGTTTGAAAGTATTGCCACTTAAGTGACGGCTAACTTATCCATGAGAGTGTTAAGCATGGCCTTCACTCTCGAAACTAAAAACGTCCCAAATATTCAGAAAATCAGTATTTATGTGTGATCTTCGCGTTTATACGAAATTAACATGAGTCATGCACAACATCATGACCCAAGTAAACCACAATTCCAGTTTCTTCGTATTTCATTGCTTTTTCAAACCAATTTTAATCCACGACATGGCTAGCGGGTAAAGGATGAAAAAAAAAAACTAAGTGAAACAGAGAACAGCAGGCTGTATCGAATCCGACTTTTTTGGTTAATATTGCAGATGGAACTGTAATTTCCGAATGGAAAATATGAGTAAGCAGACAGTATATCTCTAATAACAACTGGGGAAAATTCGCATTTCAACGAGTTTATCGAAGTCTGATTTTTTGATAAGTACAAGCTGCTCCTCTTTTGAACTTCAGTTCTGAAGTAGTCCTTGGAACCCGTACTCAATACAGTTTCCAGTTAACAAGACTAAACGAAATGTGAAAACAAAAGATGTTTGAACCGATGGTAAGAACAAATAAAACAAAACAAAACAAAAATAAAAAAAAAACAATCGACACTCGGACATAAAAACGACACTATAATTAGAATTCAGAAAATAATGGATAAACGAGGCTCATAAGAACTAATACACGTAATTTAGGTAGGAAAACACATTGAAGAACAAAACAAAAACAAGGAATAAAAAACGATAGCATGCGCAAAACACCTGAATACGAACAAATAAAATTTCAAGACTTGGAAACCGGCACATACTCTCATGTATAGGCTCTTTTCTATTGTCACTTTTGGGATAGTCCCGTAATCAAAGTTAAGGGCTTATTTTTGTATAATTCTTACAAATGTATTCAAAGTTCAGTATCTGTCCGAAAATCTTGATTATTTCAATGATGATATAATTATATATTGTAATGCCTTCTGCATAAAATATTGTGATATATGATGATATAATAGAACTATATAGGATAAATCAGTAACAATTGATATATATATAACAATTGATATATATATATATATATATATATATATATATATATATATATATATA